GTGTGTGTGTGTGTGTGTGTGTGTCTGTGGTGTGGTCTGTGTGTGTGTATGTGGTGTTGTCTGTGTGTTGTGGTGTGTGTGTGTGTATGGTGTGTGTGTTTGTCTGTTGTGTGTGTGTCTGTGGTGTGTGTCTGTGTGTGTGTGTGTCTGTGTGTGTCTGTGTGTGTCTGTGTGTGTGTGTGTTGTGTCTGTGTGTGTAGGTGTGTGTTGTGTGTGTGTTATGTGGTGTGTCTGTGTGGTGTTGTGTGTGTGTGTCTGTGTGTGTGTCTGTGTGTGTGTCTGTGTGTCTGTGTGTGTCTCTGTGTGTGTGTCTGTGTGTGTGTCTGTGTGTGTCTGTGTGTGTCTGTGTGTGTGTCTGTGTGTGGTCTGTGTGTGTCTGTGTGTGTCTGTGTGTGTCTGTGTGTGTCTGTGTGTGTGTGTGTGTGTGTGTCTGTGTGTCTGTGTGTGTTTTTGCGTAGGATGTACTGTTTGGGGTGTAGGGTGTAGGGTTTAGGGTTTCGGGCATTGCCTGGCCAACTGTCATGCCGGGCCACAGATGTCGGAAAAGAATCGAGGTTCGCCGCCACCCTTGTTGTTCAAGCACGGGGCCTGGCGATGCCGCGAACGTCATTCTACGTACGCCCTCGACCCTAAACCCTAAACCCTTCGACACGAAACCCGAAAAGGCGAGCAGGCTGATAGTGTTTAAGCCTCCTCTACCAGACTCTGCCACGCTGTTCGGGACACCCTGGCGCAAAACTACGGCGGCAGCGTCTGCTCGGAGCGCCTCAGACCCCTTAAATCCGGCAAAATGTCGCTAACACGCCTCACAGCGTTAGCCAGGACCTTTGGTGCGTGAAGGTTATAAGGGCATCTTTGTCATTCAGGGATACGTGTGGCTCGCTTGGGGTTTGGGGTTGAGAGTTTGATCAGGCCAAAAACTCTTCAACCTGGGTGTACTTGAAAGTTCATGTGTAGTTACAGGTAGGATTATATAAGTAAGGCAACCTTTATTGTAACCTCAATTCGGGTACACACAGTCAAGCTTACACCTCTAAACCCTACACCCTACACCGCATGCTATCTCGGAAGCCCCTGGAATTCCCAGCGTTGGCCAAGCCAGGGCACGAGAATGTGCATCACATGCTTGGGAAATCCTGAGATGGGCCATGAGAGGGAGTACAGGGGGGTTTAGGGTATTCCTCAATTAAGGGCCCACATTCAGGGACCATGTAACTACCCTTAGAACAATGATAGGGATTACGGCATGGGTTTCGAGCTGCTGCCCGAATTTTTTTGGACGCTGCGAATCATCCACACATGCGCAATTCTAACGCCACAAGCCCTTGAAGACATTCAAGATGTTTTGCAGTACCTCTACCCCCAAAGCCTTCAAGTAGCGCAAGCGTCATTGCTAGTGGCCCCACGCTCACTCCGAAACCCTGAACCCATACTTACTGGCTCTTAGTAGGGAAAGGGGGAATCAAGCACCTCATATCCTTTGAGGGGATTATATGGGGTAGATCACTCCCTTGTTTCCCACTAAGAACCAACAACCCCCAACACCAAAACCCAAACCCCTAACCCCAAACCCCAAGCCCCAAACCCTAAACCCCCGAACCAGGAAGCATAATCCTCAAAACTGCAGCTAGAAAGTCGACTCTGGTCTGCAGCTGCCAACTCCAGGGGTACCCTGAGATCCAGGCTGGTGGGAAGGGTTTAGGGTTTGGGGTTTGGGGTTTGGGGTTTGGGGTTTGGGGTTTGGGGTTGGGGGTTTGGGGTTTGGGGTTTGGGGTTTAGGGTTTAGGGTGGGACTGAGAGACGCTATTGGGGTTTCGGCTTGGTGGTGGGGGGGGGGGGGGGCTTCTCGTCATGCATGGAACCAAAATACATGACAAGAACAGCCATCCAACGACTTGACATCTTTTATAAATAGAATACATCTTAACAAATAAATCAATATATATATATATATGTATACATATATATTTATGAAGAATACATGCATAAACATATGTATGTGTGTGTGTGTCTCTCTGCATATTGTTGGATACGCTTTGTAAGTGTTAACATATTCACATGTTTGCAATCTTTGTAGTTGCAAGGCTTGGGAGACTTCATCGACCTCATGGGAGTTTGGGGATTCTACGGTTCATTCGACCTTCTTTATGCAGGCTCAAGTGGCTCTCTATGGTGTCAGGGTCTAGGTTTAGGGTTTCGGGTTTAAGTAACTCTAAACTCCAAACCCAAACCCCTGAACCCTTCAACTTGAAACCTCCCAGAAAAAGGACACGAAGTCCCAAAGCCCTCTAACAAGTAAAGGATAGTTTCATCATGGGTTTCCCCCTACTACCCCCCCACACTACCCCCTGCCCCCCTTTGAATAGCCTTAATTCGGCTTAATTATCCCTAGATGGCCTCAATTTTTTGAGGGGGGGGAGGACGCACAGTAGGGGCGGTAGTAGGGGGGAACCCATGATTTCAGGTGAGCAAACTACCCAACTGAAACCCCAAACCCTGAACCCTAAGCCCTAAACCCACTGAAACTGTCCTAGATAAAGCAATTGCAAGAAAGGCGCTTTCCTCGCATCAGCGGGTCAGGATGCGTCATGGGTATCCTGCTCATGGGGCGAAATCCCCAAGGCCTAGAAACATCTAGCCCTAAACCCTAAACCTACCCCTGGGTTAGTTTCAAAGTGCAGCTTTGACCGCTTGACTAGGGGTTTACCCCGCAAATGCAGTAGGGTCCTGTACAGGGGAGGACCTCTAAACTTAAACGATGATGCCTTCTAAAGATCCTACGGACCCTTTTCCTAAGCCCTAGAACCTGAAAACCCTTTTTTAACACGGACCTCTGAAGCCTGTCCAGAGTCCCCTCAAACCCACCACCCACTGAGGCCCGCACCGCAGAACGCCCGTGCTTCACACAAAGCGCTCAAGCTCAGAGTATGTATCTTTGATACAATCTGAATGCGGGGGCTTCTTCAAACAAGAGGATGTGTTGGTGAACTTTCAAATGTTCGGAGCGGGTCTTCTGTAATGAGGGAAGAAACTGTTGCAAAAGGTCAGGATCAGCAAGAAACTGAATCACGAAAGAAGTTTTGTACATCTGGAAGTAGGCAAACCACTGGTCTACACAAGCGCCAAACTCATCATGCGTGGGAACATGCATGACCTGCCAACCATGCTCGCGATCCAACCAGAAGAACGCCAGCTCGTGTGCCGGAGCACTAGTCACAAAGATGGTGGAGCACCAGAACACCTCATGATTGGCCGCTTCCGTTTCACTGCTCCAGCACATCTGCTGCACCACCGGTGGCGGGGGCACAAAGTGGGAGGCAACCGCAGGTAGCCGGGCCTTCCACCGATCCCGTGACTGCGCAGCATCAGCCGCCAGCAGAGGCTGCGTGCCGTCCCGCACTCGTGCATGTTGTTCTTGACTCCATGTGAGAAAGTTGTTCCAGGGACCAGCTCTGCATCCAGGTCCCTTAGCCGACTGCAGCGCCTGAATGGCTCCACTTATTGGCGAGTCCGGTGCAAGAACTGCTCGGCGGAAGATGTGTCCTGCAAAGGACCACTTTCTAGCTGCCCAGCAGTACAGCCAACACTTCTGCGGGTGCTCACACTCGCAAGGCCCGGCGCCGGATGCGGCAGAGAGCGTGAGCCTGGGTGACTGTGAGGTGCTTGGGCAGCGTCAGCTTGAGTAGCTGAACCAGGTACGTAAACTGAACGCTCCTCACTGTGCGCTGCTGCTGTTGGTTCAGTTCGAGGCAGGGGGAAAACCACAACCAAGTGCTAGAGAGGTACTTGGCAAACACTTCGATGGCTGTTTTCCATGTGTGCCAGGAGGCGTGCTTGGTGACTGCACGCGTGTCCTCCCACCGCTGTCTGAGGCTTCTACACGCGTCCTGCCACAAATACTGGAATTGACAGGTGCCAGTGGGGCAGTGCTGAATGGTTTTGCGCAGGTACTTGGCTCCAGCGCTCCACTGCATCCGAGCGAGGGCGCTGTCAGGGCACACCAGGGTCCTGCCTTCAGCCAGCCTCGTCTCAGTACTCATCACCGAGCACTTGCTGAGTGCAAACTGAAAGCCACCCTGAGCCATGACCTCTGCCAACAAACTCACAAAGGACTGAGCATCCTTCCATTGGGAGAAACGGAGGATGAGATCATCGATGAACAGCCACCCCATGGTCTCCTTTTTGAGATACGGACTCCCAGCGTTCGAAGGCTTCCCCTAGGAGAAAATCGATGAAGTATGAAAATGTTTGGGCGGAGTGACTCCCTCCTTGAGCTATTCCTCTGGTGGTGGCCTCGACCTCCCAGGAATGGCCCATCCATCTGAAGGACATCTGCTGCGCATGTATCAGCGTCAGCAGCATAGCAGCTTCTCTAGCCCGGCCATCGGGGGTGATGTCCGCCACAAACTGCAGTAACCGAGCATGTCGGACATGGTCGAACGCGCCCTTGATGTCGATGGTCACCCAAATGCCGGGTGAGTCGGTCCTATCTTCTGCTTGCAGATGGAATAGAGTGGAGGCCAAGCCTTCAAGCACCTGGCCCCCAGGAACTGCACCGAGCTGTCTCTTCGGTCGACGCCAGCTGAGCATCAGTCTCTGAATGAGTAATCCTGACACCAGCTTATTCAAGACTTCGAGCAGGTTGATGGGTCGAAGGCTTCCAGCTTGCGTGATGGAGGAGGCTTTTGGCACGAGAGCAACCAGGCTGCGCAAGGCTTCAAAGTTGAGCGTGCCAAGTGTTAGCGCTGTGTTGATGTAACTCAGCAGAAGCTCCTGCCCACAGGGATGTCGAGCTGCCTCAAGCACAAATTCGTTTGAGATTCCCGAGGGGCCCGTGGTCTTGCCTTGCTTGAGTTTCGGCAAGTACTGCTGCAGCTCTTGCAAGTTGAACTTCTCGAGGTTCCCGGCCCTTGCCCGAAGTGCGTGCATACCCTTACGCCAGGCGTCTTGCTGAAGGGGGCAAGGCTCCGTAAGCAAGCTTTGGAAGTGGTCCTGAAGGTTCAACGCTGCCGCAAGCTTGCTCCCATGGTCCTTGACATACGCGTCCGCGTTGCTCTGGCGAGGGGCAGGCCTATAGGGAAGGCTGTTTGCATGTGTGACGCGGAGCCTTGGCTGGCCTTCTGTTGGCAGCTCTGCCACCACTGAAAGCATTCAGCATGCCGGCGACTGACAACGACACGCGTAAGATGTGCACGTTGGGCCGCATCCGCACATCGGTTGCGCTGCCTGCAGATATTCTTGAGCTCTGCACTGTCAGTGTAGCGTGGCTTACTCCTCCTGGATGAAGATGCTTTGCACACGCTTTCCAGTTGTCGCCACTGGCACTGAAGGTCCTGGAGGGTGCTCAGGGACCCCAGCGGCACCGCAACCTCCAGGGTGTCCAGCTGCTGTTGGAGAATTGCTGCATTCACCTGCCACTTGGCTGAGGACGCCCGTCCTTTTCTCCGGGCTCGGCGCTCTGGGCGGGCTCTTGGCCGAGTGCTGCGAACATTTGCTTCAAGGAGGACCGGGGAGTGATCCGAGTTTAAGGCGCTGCGAGCCTCATGTTGAACTTCTAGGAAGTAGGAATCGGCATCAGGGTGGAAGGAGTCAACAAGCTTCTGGTTGATGAAGAAATAGTCCAGTTGACTGGAAGTTCCCCGAGGCCCAAACCAGGTACGTTCAGCAGGTTTAACGCAGTGAAACCCCATGCCTGTCAGCAGCGCCGTCACCTGATCAGCTCTCGTGTCTCCTGGTCTGTCCTGGTCTGTGTTCCAGTCACCGCCAATGAGAACTTCATGATATAGGGGGATCGTCACAAGTCTTTGGCGCAGGTCTTCAAGGGACTCTTCAAACGCATGGTCAGGTCTGGCAGAATGCGGAAGATGCACATTAATTACCCACCTTGCCCTCTCATGTCCTCGAGGAAGAAAGGAGATGCCCATATGCCACTTTCCCAGGAACTTGGAGCAAAGGCAGTCGACTCTCTCCTCATCCAAGGCGATAACCATGCCCAAGTAACTTAGGAAGTCATGTAGGAACTGCATGTTGAGTTCAGGGACTGCGTGATGAAGTACTTCACAAGGCTCATCCAATCCCGGCTCATCCATTTTTAAGGTATGGAGTGAGCCCACCTCTTGGAGAAGCAAAATGTCAAAGCAGGCGTCAGATGCCGAGGCCCAAAGGTCCAGCTTCTGAAGCGACTTGCCTTTCAAATTCCAAGTCATAGCTTGCATGTACTCTGGCCGAGGCTCCTCTCGAGCAGCAGCCAAATTCGGGCATGCATCCACCATCTGGCGTCACTCGGTGCGCAACTTGGCCTCGGCCTCCTTCTCCCCTACATCCAGCGAGCGCGCTATCTGTGTGAGGTTGAAGTAGAAGTCGAAAGACTCGTCGCTGGATGGGTCGAAGACTGCAGACTGGATCACGGCCTCATTCGGTTCGGGGAAGATATGTCGCTTGTTGGTACTTGCAACCCTTCTTCCCTGGAGGAAAACCACTCCTACACCCCAGTCAATCTCAAGGTTCTCATCATCGAGGATTTGGTTGCTGCAGCTCTGGACTCGCTCTCGGGCCGCCCTGAGTACGCGATTCCTTTGTCTCTTCTCCGGGGTCCTTGAAGGGGATACCCATATAGGCTGATGGTTGGCGGAAGTGGTCAAGCTCAGCGCGTCCAGGGCAGTTCGAATCTGTTGGCTTCTCTCCCGTGCCTCTTCGTAGGGTAGCTGCTCGAGGTGTAGGTGTGCAATTGTTGCTCTGACACCCCAAACGGCAACCCTATCGACCTGAACATCGCGAGGGAGAGCGGACTTCACTGAATCGACATCCCTCAGTATCACATTCCTCGGCGTGTCTCTGGCCCAACCCCCAACAACCATATGATTAAAATCAGTTCCGGAACCAGGGCTCGCCGTCGGAGAGGTCATGCTGTTCGCGGGGGTAGGACCACGCGCCACTGGTTGAGGCAGTCGAGGAGGTGCTGTGCTAGCCGAAGCCTGGTGGGCTTTGTAGTGATGCCATGGATCTGTTGCAGGGCCTGTTGCCGCCTGGGGATGCGCACCTGATGGTTGGGCTTGGCCTTGAGGAGGTGGAACTCTGTTGTAGGGGGCCTTACCTGCAAGGATGGAGTCGAGGATCTGTTGCTGATGTTGTTGCTGCTGTCGGAGCGATGCGATGTCTTCTGTCACTTTTGACGCATTCTGCTGGAGGTTCTCAAGGCGGTCCACTCGGGAGCACAGCAGCTGGTTGGTATCAGCAACAGCAGACATCTTGCTCAGGAGCTCAAGGGCCCAACTAGGCGGAGTGTCAGGGTTCGCAATCACACCTCCAGGCAATTGGGGCGCTTGACGCTGAACTCTGTCGTCTTCGAGGCCCCCAACACCTGCAAATGGAACCAACTCATTCTCTGCCTGCGAGTCATCAACCCCAGCTTCTTCTTGCTTTCTTTTCTTAGGGCTTTCACCCCCACTCTGGTCCGCAGTCTGTGCTTCTTCTTGGTCCATGGCGTTGATTCAGGAAAACAAGAACCCTGGGGCCCTAAGCCAATACCCCTTGAGCCCTTGAACCCTTGAAAACCCTGGAACCCTAAAAGTCAACAAAACCTACGCCCTAAAACCCTAATTAAAACCCTAAAGCTTAAAACCCTAGCCTCTGGGCCACGTCGGATCTACTTACGGACATACCATGAACCCTGCCCCCCAACCTCCACCCGCCCACCCCCCCAATGCCCCTAAACCTCCTTTTCACACCCCAAACCCCAAACCCCCAACCCTAAACTAGACCCTAAACCCTAAGCTTAGGATGCTTCAGCGGGCCTAAGCCTCCCAAACGCTCAGCCCTGAAACCCATTTAGCCAGCTCTGCGGCTTAGGGTTTAGGGTTTAGGGTTTAGGGTTTAGGGTTTAGGGTTTAGGGTTTAGGGTTTAGGGTTTAGGGTTTAGGGGCCCCCCTCCTCGACTCCAAAGAGGCACCACGGCGGCACAATGTCTGCACCAACCGGATTACCTGCTGTCAAAGCCCAGGGCTGCGTGTAGCTGTTGTTTTGTTTTGCCACGAGGGTTCAAGGGCTCATCGCCTACGGGCGCCTAGTGTATACCTAAAGTTTCCTATGTAGCCTTAGGAAAGGGAAGTCCGCCTGAATTCGTGGACATAAGCACTTTGTTTGAAAAGTACGTACCTAGGTTGGCCCCTTACAGCCTCTGAAAAATATTCCAGAATATGGTCCTCTTCAACCCAATAAGGGAAAATGTAAAAAAATCCCAGGGGCCTACCTAGATACAGGTTTGCTCCAGGTAGGGCTTTGGACTTTGGGAGTCTTTGGTGTTTAGCCGAAGCATGTCATGATTGTGCAGGTATAAAGTCCAGAGCGCAGGACTCACACCCAAAAGATGCTCTGAAGTTTAGGGTTTAGGGTTTAGGGTTTAGCGTTTAGGGTTTAGGGTTTAGGGTTTGCTGCACAGGAGCTGCTGCCACGATGCCATGCTGGTGGTGTTATCTTATGGCCAGCTAGACGAACTAGCGCTACCGCTCTGTACTTCATGAATGTCGCAGCTCTCCTCATGCTTGGAGACTTTGGGGACTATAGGGTTTAGGGTGGAGAAGGCAGTTCGTATTGAGCTCTTTCAGTTTTCTTCTTTTCCTGGGTGCATGGTAGAGGATGGGCCTAGTTCTTATGATGCATGGGCAGCGTGACCATAGAAAGAAAGAACTACCCTTGCATTTCCGCCGATCCCACGTCCAAAAAGAAAGGCGCCGAAACAAGCGATGACCGTGTTACTCCCGCCGCGCCTCATCATCACTCTCAATGCCTCCCACAACGCCTCGAGAGCTGAAACCCTAAACCCTAAACCCTAAACCCTAAACCCGAAACCCTAAACCCTAAACCCCTAAACCCTAAACCCTAATTCAACCTGCAGGCTCTTGCTGGCCCTCACAACCCTTCATCACTGGCTCTTAGTGGCTTTTCGCAAGCCGACAATGGATCCTTGCTGCACTTTGCTTCCCAAGCCGCAGCCATCGACCCACTGGTCACGGAACGTCCGGAAGCTTAGGTGCTGAGTTCCCTTGGGGAAAAATTGGGGAAAAAGGTCGACCTTTGGGGTTTAAGGGTGTTTATACTACCCCAAAAGGTTAAAGGTTACCCAGCACCTAGGGAAGTTAAGCAAAAGAACAAGGATAGATTCGGGCTTTGCCATGGAAGGTGGTGAAGGAACTCTCGGCTCTCATCTGGAGCCCCCGCAAGCCTCGTAGAGCGACGAAGTGGAGGGGTGTCACTCCGTCCTTCAGGGTGTATATGGGCTTTAGGACTTTCGGGGTTCGACGTTGGAATATCTTGGCAGACAGTGCCGGTGGCAACCATACTCTTCAGCAGCAATGCTGGGTGGGCAGCAAAGCCGGTCTTTAGCCCCTTCACACCGTTTCTTTTGTTGGAACGAATTTGGAAAACAAATCAAACTCGATACTGCAGCGCTGCCTACCTCAGAACATTAGGACGTGTCAGCCCACACTCCGGACTCGGACTCCGGACACTTGTAAACGGTTACTCCAACGCACACGCCACCTTCAAACAACTCAAACTCAAATCTTCAACCCTTTTGGGCATTTGGGGGGTTTTGTTGGGCGCGGCGTTCCCTGCTTGAGGTGGGACAAGGCTGCTTCACAAGGTGGTCCTTGTTCTTGGCCCGCGCATCTGCCCCATGGTCCAACAGCCACATGGAAACTTCAATGTTGCCTCGTTCAATCGGCAGAAACCCTAAACCCCGAACCCTAAACCCGAGACCACACCCTTCTGCATCTGCGCTTGTGCAATCGCCAGAGTCTACTCTGGGCTCTCCCTTTAGGGCCAAAACCCAAAACCCTAAAACAAACAGGGTTTAGGATTTAGGGCGCCCTCCTACAAGGAGGCCCCCCCCCCCCTAGTTATAAGTAGAGCTATAAGAACCCTAGTCTGGGTTATAAGGATCTAAGTCCCCTAACTACAGTAAAGAAAAGGAAGGGGGCCCCTCCATGTAGAGAAGGGGCAA